GATAGATAGATAGATAGATAGATAGATAGATAGATAGATAGATAGATAAAAACAACAATTTAAAATTCTACCATAGATACACGGAGATAGATAAATGATAATAAGGGACACAGGGAGATAGACAGACAGACCGATAATAGATTATGTATAGATACAGTGGTTAGATAAATGATTGAAAGGGAGATAGGGATAGATGGGTGGATAGATGAAATAGACACAGACAGGGATAGGTAGATGGATGGATAGATAGACAGATAATATAAATGATGGAAAGGAAGAAAGGGATAGATAGATAGATAGATAGATAGATAGATAGATAGATAGATAGATAGATAGATAGATAGATAGATAGATAGATAGACAGATAGATAGACAGGGCAACATTCTACTTTGTAGGTCCCCATCTCCAAGGCACCTGTTCATTGATAAGTTGCAACTGCTGCTGACTCGTCCGATTGTCCATGTCAATGGCCACGTCTCCCGAGTACCGGCGTTCGTCCTGAAGCACGCTGGAACGCCCTGTAAGGAGGAGACCAGGTCAGAAGCGGCGCCTCCGAAGCCTCCCAGTTCCAGGGACGGACAAAGGTTTCACCCCCCCTCCTCCTCCTTCACCTGCCCGAAGCAACCCAGGCATCCACCGATTCTGCCCCACGTGATGGAGGGGAGGGAGAAACTCACCTAGGTTGTTTGCCTGGAGAGGCATATTGGCCACCGGGGGACGGGAAAATTGCTCTCGCCGACTCTTCTGCTGCTTAAGATTCTGGGGAAGGGGAGGGGAATGTGGGGAGAAAGGGAGGGTCACGGGGTTAGAGAAGGGCCAGGTAGGCAAACCAAGATGAGCCCCTCTCAATTCTATGGCTCTATTTACCCTTCCTCTATTGATAGTATTCTATCCCACCCCTCCCCTCTCTCCCACCGTATGTGAGATCCATCGTCTATCTTCTTTTTCCTTCCTTCGGCTCTCCCTCCTTCGCTTTCCCTTCCTTTCCATCTTCACCTCCTCCCTCCCTCATCTCTCCCCCTTCCCTTCACTCTCTTTCTTCCTCCCTCTCGATCTCCTTCCTTCCTTCCTTCCCTGCCTTCCCCAACAGCTAAGTAAATGAAAAGGGCTACTACACTGTTTCCTTTCCTTTTTCCTCCCCTTCCCTTCTTCTGTCTTCCTTTCCTTGTCCCTTTCTTTCTTCTACCTTTCTTTCCTTTCTTTTTTGCTTCCCTTCTCTTCCTTTCTTCTATCTTCCCTTCCTTTCTTCTATCTCTATCTCCTCCCTTTTTCCTCCCCTTCCCTTCTTCTATCTTCCCTTCCCTTCCTTGTCCCATTCTTTCTTCTATCTACCTTTCTTTCCTTTCCTTTCCGCTTCCGTTCTCTTCCTTTCTTCTATCTTCCCTTCCTTTCTTCTATCTCTATCTCTTTCCTTTTTCCTTCCCTTCCCTTATCCCTTCTCTTCCTTTCTTCTGTCTTCCCTTCCCTTCCTTGTCCCTTTCTTTCTTCTATCTACCTTTCTTTCCTTTCCTTTCCGCTTCCCTTCTCTTCCTTTCTTCTATCTTCCCTTCCTTTCTTCTATCTCTCTCTCTTTCCTTTTTCCTTCCCTTATCCCTTCCCTTCCTTTCTTCTGTCTTCCCTTCCCTTCCTTTCCTCTTCCCTTTTTTCTTCCATTTTCTATCCTTCTCTTCCTTTCCTTTCTTCTGTCTCCCTTTCCTTTTCCCTTTCCTTTCCTTCAGCTCCTTCCTCCATCCCTCCCTTCCCAACAGTGAAAAGGGCTACCGCACAGCCACTCCCCCCCCCGGGGGTGGGTGGGCAAAGCACGAAAGCCACAGCTGACCACTCACCTCCGTCCGCACCTCCAAAACCGACTTGAAATCATTGGACATGGAAGCCAGTTTCGACTACAATAGAAGGGAGGAGGGAAGACAGAAATTCAGGGTCCCTTGTCCTGCTTTGCGACTCCGAGAAAACGTCCCACCCTTTTGCCCGTTGCTGGTGCCACCCATCCAGGAGCAGCAGGTACTAGTGGGGGTGAACACTTTACAGGGAGCGTATTTTCAATGCGTGGCACGACAAAACCGCGCTCGACTAAAGTGCGCCCGATTAAACCGCGTCGCTGACGTCATCAACAGGGCGACAACAGCGAGCGCGGAGAAAGAAGGGCGCTTTAAATAGCGCTTTGAAAGCAAGCCGATTCAAGTTAAGGTAAGGTTTAGGGTTAGGTTTAGGGTTAGATTAAGAGTTAGGGTTAGGTTAAGGGTTAGGATTAGGTTTAGGTTTAGGTTTAGGGTTAGGGTTAGGGTTAGGGTTAGGGTTAGGTTTA